AGTTCTTCCGGGTCACCTGTACTAATGGGTGTCCCTCGGGGCTCGATTCTCGGCCCATTCCTATTTCCAGTGTATATTAAGGACTTACTTTTTCTTGTAGGGGATAATCATGATATAGTATTATTTGCTGATGATACTTCCTTGATTTTTAAACTTAAACGTCAATTATTTAAATGTGACGAAGTGAATAATGCTATATCAAAATTAGTGCATTGGTTTAACGTTAATAATCTGCATTTGAACGGAAATAAAACTAATTGTGTTAAATTTACAACAACGAATGTTAAAAATCTGTATACCAATGTGTTTTAAATGGGGAGAAATTGAGCCCTGTTGAATCCACTGTTTTTCTTGGCATCACTCTCTACGCAAAGCTTCAGTGGGACCCCCATATATCCCACTGCCTAACACTACGACTAAGTTCTGCAGCCTATGCTGTAAAAAAAATTAGAGTTCTCACTAGTGTCGAGACAGCTAGATTAGTTTATTTCAGTAATTTACATAGCATATCGTCTTATGGGATTTTGCTATGGGGAAAAGCGGCTGATTCTGAAACTATTTTTGTTTTACAGAAGAGGGCCATTAGAGCTATTTACAACCTAAAACCGAGAGTCTCTTACAGATAAATTGAAAGAAATAAATATATTAACTTTGGCCTCTCAGTATATTTACGAAAATTTCATGTATGTTCACAAAAACAAAGGTAGTTTTAGTAAAAAAAGTGATATACATTCTGTAAACACTAGAAACAAACACAAGCTAGTGACACAAGTTTCTCGACTCCACAGAGTCAGTAATACATTCTTGGGGCAATGTATACGCTATTACAACAAGGTCGCGGAAAGTGTACAGGCTCTCTCTATTACCAAGTTTAAATGTTTTGTTAAGTTAAAACTGTATAAAAAGGGTTATTATAGTATAAATGAATAAATGGTTGATAATAACCCCTGGGAATGAGGTGATCGCTTCCAAGCTGTTTCTAAAATAAATTTTGTACTTATATAGTTTGTACAACCATTAATGTAAAATATGCTTTTAAAAAAAAAGTCCCGCTGGGTTTCTTGCTGGTTCTTCCCAGGACAGAGGGCTTTTTTCGTACCAGTGGTAAAGTAAAAGTATAAAATGACTTTCAATAAGAATTACACATGTGATCTATATTGAATAAAAAAATTATTCTATTCTATTATTCTATTCGAGGATGTGAAAACATTTAATAATTCAAAAGATACTAAAATAAAATCTGGTAATGAAGATTAATATAACACAAATAATTATTAAGAATAAAAAGTCAAATGTGTTTTTAGAAAACCTGTCTACAAATTTTATTTGCAATTCCATTAAAAATAATATCTTTAAAGACAAAATAAGCAAACAATAAACTCTTAATCGAGTCGCCTGAATTTGAGGATTCTGTCACTGTGGGAGTGGGGGGGGGGGGGAGTCAAGGGGGTTTATCTGAAGCATCCCCATGTGATTTTTGCTGCCGGAGCAGCGTGGAAGTATTTTTTAAAACTATTGGTAAATCACTAACTAAACGTGAATGATCGTATATTTAACTAAATTTTAACGTTTTTGACGTTGCATCTATCAAAGTCATCTCAGAATGCGTAAAATGAATCGTTAGGCCGGAAAAATACAGGCGACTTACTTTCAAACCCAACCCCGGCAATTTCGTTGACTTTGACAAATATACTTTACGTCATTCCGTTGCTTCAGAGTTTACATGAATGTGCTCCCTTACGTTTTTATTTGCCTTTATAAAAGTTAATATTTTGGTGTTTTATTGAGTGCAAGAGCGAGCGAAGCGAGCTCGGGATCTGCGGCACCCCGCCTCGGACAGGTTAGGTTAGAAGGGGATTTCGGGGTCGACTGAGCGAGTGAATAGATCCCGCCATCCCTTTCGTGGTTATTTTTTTCTAAACCACTCAACATGGTGCAGTCGAGGGTTGCCTGGTCAACGGAGCCCCGCGAATCGGGGCTCCTACTTCTGAGTGGCGTGGAGCTTCCCCTACCCTAACTCTCTACCCACATAAATCAGGTTTATATTGTCAAAAACATTACGAAATTATAACCTTCTAAAAATTTATAAAAAAAAACTAAACACGTCCGGCAGGAAAAGGAAATGGGGGGCAACTCTACATCTCCCCCACCACCCCCACCTCCCAATTCAGGCGACCTATTTTCAACCCTTACCCGTGTGCACTGTTCTGTAATAAATAAAAAAAAAGCCCTTGGGAGATTTTGATGGCAACTTGAGCCAGCAGACAACTGACATTTGGCGATGGCATCTCAAGGCGCCTAAGCAGACAGACACCTTATCTTGAGAATCACATCACCATCAGAGCACTTGTTTCACCGTTTCCACTAATAGTTTACATGCGCAGACATTTAATACACAAAATCGCACTACTTTTACATAACAAAATCCACTTCAAACCATTATTAATTTAAACAATAATACAGGAGTAGCACTCTGTCGCCGGTCAAGTTCCCGCCAAAACTCCTTTTTAACACGTGTAAGGTTTACACCACAGAGCAAATACACAGAGGTGTATGTGTGATTTCACTATGTAACAACGCGTGACAATTTACGGGGGTGAGAGGGTGTTAAAACCCACCCTCTTAACTATTTCCATCTACCGATAAATAGTAAAACTACTCGCATCGTTCCATATCGATGTTGTAATGTAGTTTAGCTACCATGACGACATATAGCGCCTTGTTCACAAAATGATTTTAAAAACTGTAAATATAATGTTTTGGCAATTAAAAATTATTTAAGACTGAATGCAAAATAAATTTCAGCATCTTCGTATGATTATTTTACCAATACTGAGCTCTACATACCTTTATTTCCCATGACACAAAGTGTCGCCATCTAGTGTCGAATATATTTAATTATACTTGAAAGCCGACGCAGAGATTTTTCTAGAACTATTTTAATAAATTACGTATAAAATTACTTACAATTGTGTGATGCCAAAATGTGATGCCATCCATAGCATCAAAGCGTCTATCTGAGTAGTTTTTACACGATAAAACACAACACTTCATCCTTTTCTTCTTAATACTACGAATATACACCGATTTGCGATTTCTGTACATAAACGCACAAAACGAACGTGTCAGAATACTAACGTTAAGCCACGTCCACTGTGATGACGTCAGGACCTAGTTAGAATCACAATGCACAGTTGCTTAGTCTCCTCTTTGTATTTGCTCCGTGGTTTACACTAACGCGAGAAGAAATATGTATGCTATGATACAAATGACATCTTGAGCATAGCCTGTCCCTAGGTTCTCCCAGTTTTTGTAAAGTTGAGTATAAATCTTAAAAAATAGCATTCAAATCTGCAGATATGACTGGATTTAATTTAAAAATTAGTACTTCTTGAATAAAAATTTGTAATTTGATTACATTATTAAACCTATTCAGCAAAAGCGTAGCTTAAATATTTTCAAATAATCATCTATTCAGGTTTTGCAACGAAGGCACCTCATTAATAATTATCAGTAATATAATAGTCTTTACCAAACAAGTTTTGTCTATGTCACTATGGAAGGACGGGATTTACCACCAATAGTCTAATCCATAAAGGGTCACTTTTTAAATATAGTGTAAAATGCTAGTCTGCTAGCCGAATGGATACAGTGATTGTGATTCACAATTAACACATTTAATGGGAAAACAACTTCTATATCATAGTGACAGAGACCGCGTTCTAGAACAAGCTAGTTCGATACGGTGTAGGTTAAAGCGTCTCCCACACACAAGTGGCTTGCGGTGTGGTCGCGGTAGCGGCCAGTTGTATTAGCTTGTAATGTAAGTACGTCTGCAAACCCGTGATGCCATGTCACGGCTTTACAGTGGCTGGCCGCGACCGCATACCCCGCCCCCTCCGCCACCGCATGTTTGTTAGCGTGCGCACACCCTATCGGTGACCGCAGCGCGGTCAGTTGCAAATTTTTATAAAAGGCCGCGTGTACCGCGTAAAAATGGCGCTAAATAAAGATATTTAAATAGAAACAGTGCAAAATTATCCAGTGCTTTATGATACTTCACACCGTGATTTCAAAAATAATAGGATTAAAATAATAAAAAAATTATAATAACAAATACTAACAATAATAAAAGCATATTGAAGAACTTCATGGGGTTTTTGTAGCAGTACGGCAAGCGGCACGGGTCACCGCACTAGCGACGAGGTCACGTCGATGCCGGCAGCATGTTTGAAGGGCTTCAAAGGGCACAAGCGGCTTGCGGTGGCGGCTAACCGCGAGCCGCGGCTCCAGCCGCTGCAACAACACGCCACCGCAGTCGCAACGGCGGCCTGAAGCGCCATTCGCTGTGGTATCTGTGCTACGATTAGAGGTCACTAAACATGGTTAAGCATCATGTGATGAAGTCTTCTTATATTCAGCAATATTATAATATATTTTGTTTTTAATCTTAATGCTTTTGTAATCACGATGCGAATTATCATAAAGTACTGAATAATTTTGCTCTGTTTCTATTACAATCTCTGAATTTAGCACCATTTTTCACGTTGTACACGCGGCCTGTTGTAAAATTTTTGCAATTGATCGCGCTGCTGCCACCGACTGGCCGCGTACTCGCTAACACACACGCGTTGGCGGAAGGGGCGGAGCATGCGGCCGCGGCCAGCCGCTTGCAAATCACGATATGGGCGCACGGGTTTACAGACTCTTTTACATTGCAAGCGAATACAACTGACCGCCACCGCAAGCCGCTTCTGTGTGGGAGACGCTTAAGGTTGTAGCAGTGCGGCCGGGGGCCCGTTACTACACTGGTAATGGGGCCACAGCGCTGTGAGCATCGTGCTGAAGTGCTTCATGAGGTGGTAGCAGTGCGGCAGTCTGGTGTGGCGGTGTGGCAGCGCGTGGTGCGGTCACAGCGCGGCGGGCAGCGTGCCGAAGGACTTCATGAGGTGGTAGCAGTGCGGCAGTCTGGTGTGGCGGTGTGGCAGCGCGTGGTGCGGTCACAGCGCGGCGGGCAGCGTGCCGAAGGACTTCATGAGGTGGTAGCAGTGCGGCAGGCGGCTGCGGTGGCCGATGCGCTGCAGCGTGGCGGCGGCCTGCGCCAGCATGCCGGCGCGCTCGCCGGGCGCGGCCAGCAGCGCGGCGGGCAGGTGGCGGCACGCCATGTACAGCGCCACCGCGCGCTCGCCCGCGCCGCCGCCGCCCTCCAGCGCGCGCTCTGCCCCACGAACAAACAATCAGCGTATTCTACCGCTTTTTATCTCACCTGGGCGGAGCCACTTTAAAATGAGGTGGCAATTTGACAGATTTCATAGTGGGTAAATTCTTTTGTAAGGAAAATGTAAAGGTTTATATTTCTTTCTGTAATATTTGTTATATTTTATATTAAGTATATTATATATACAAATAAAATATACAAGTATTTCTAAAACTGAAAAAATAAAAAAAACACCTGCAAAAATTACAAGAAACAACCAATGAGGCATTTTTTTTAAATTTATAAATTAACTTCTCATATATGGATGGTCCATAAACGCCACAGAGTTCAACACGATATCTTGACATACAGAGTTATTTTGCAATAACTGGCCGAATTTTTAAAGGAGGCTCAGAATAGGTAAAACAAGCGGAATGGTGAAAAAAATATATCAAAAAAACTCAAACATATTGTCCTTTTTATCTTTTATATTTAAAATGTGTGGAAATACATTATTTTAATTGATTGTGATTCATAAATAGGTAGCGCCTACTATTTTATTAGCACGCACGAATTCGTAAGGGAGTGTTGAATTCGGAAGGAGTCGGTAGCGTTTAGAAAGTTCCGCGCTCGCACTCCAGATTTAGCGCGTCTTCTTTTCTTTCCCTTAGCTGTTATACTACTAGGTATGTTCACCCGGCCGGCCCCAACCGACAGTATTCGCTTGACCGTGACTTCATTACGTACCCGTGTTCTTTTTTTAAAATTTCGTAGATTAATTTCATAACAAAAATATTCGAATCGCGTATACTATAAAATATTACGGTGTTTTTTTTTTATAGGATAAGGGTGAAAAACGAGCACACAGTCCACCTGATGGTAAGTGGTTGCTGCGGCCCATAGACATCTACATCTATCCTCGTTTGCGAATCAAAATGCAGATGCGTTGTCACCCGTGAGGACTAAGATGGAATGCCTCATTGCCAGTAAAAAGGGCCTCCGGCACCTGCACTCACCAAGCGAAACGCAGAGGTAAACCTCTATTTCACGCTGGTATTCTGTAAGGTCGTGGTACCACCCCGGTTCGAGCCGGCCCATCCGTGTGACTGCAAAAGCTGCCGCGTGGCTCTACCACTGTTAAAATTATTTACATTTTAAGCAATGAAAGTTTACGTGGTGCGCAAAGATTATATGAAAATGAGTCTTTACCGTGGTTGCAAAAACAAGGAATTAACGCACGTGTACCACCCAATCGGAGAACAATTTTTGCAACTAATCAAAGCCTGTTAGACTTTGTACAGTTCACCAATCCGTAACATGGAAGTGTTCGAGGTGATCATTCAGTAATAAGCCCGGCTGTCGAAAACGCAGTGATCGAGTTTTTCAGGCGAAACCTCCGCGCTAGTACTAATTATACAGCTCGAGTTCAGAGTTAGCCAGTACGTATAGAAACTACTGAATTCTTCTGGATATCACCCATTTCATTACCAACGTGTGCAAGCAGTGAATAATAACGATCGTCCATCTCGAAAACATTTTTGTGAATGGTTAGTGTTATTTTAAACTAACTGGTACCCGGCGCGTTGCTGTCGCAGAAAAAATAGTCGCGAAAATATCACTTTAAATTTCGAATGGTTATAATGTTTAATTAGGAAAGATAAAACATTCACTGAAGTTGAATGATATATAATTTTCTAATAAATCGCGGTCGTACGATAGTGTCTTTGAAAAATAACCCTGTATATTTTGTAGGTCCAGGTTGCAACTATATTATGGTTAAAGCACGAATGGGTCGGCTCGACCAGGAATGCTCTCACAGGGTATGTGAAGTAGTAAGAGAACTCACTACCCCATATCATCCCGTGCGTGTCGTAAATGGGCGACACAGGGAAATAAACAGAAGATAGTCACAGGTGCATCTTGCCGATATCAATTGAAAATATTTAAAAAAATACAGTGGTTGCCTACCCGCCTACCTAACGAGGCAAATATGGCAAATACCTATAGATTTCCTATAGGCTAAATTTAATTTTATTGCTAAACTATACTATATAAAAAAATACCGAATCAACGCGAGCTTCGAAATAAAATCGCAAGTGGGCGTTCTTAAACTTAATATACCTTTGCCACAAATAATTGATGAACGACTGCAGCGAGGCCGCAAACTGCCATCAAGCAATTGTTGCGTCCGCCTCGGTGCAGCGCCGGCCATCATTCTGCACACTGCCGAGTGGAGAAACACTCGTGATGTCACCCACTGAAATATATACAAAATTGCGTTTTATAACTGGTCTATTTACTATTTATCTGTTTTTAAATGGTAGCAATCTAATGAATATGAACTTTATGTTTATTTATTTGTTTATTATTTATTGAACCTTATTTATTTTCTAGCTTCCAAATAATCACCCGAATACAAATGCATATTACTACTACACTGTATACAGGGTGTTTTTGGAACGCTCCCGAAAACTAAGACAGGCGACAACACCAAGTATACCTTTGATCATGGGTCACAAATAAATTCGATCCTGATGAAAAAAAAATCATCTTTTTACAAGGTTTTATTAGCTTTATTCACGCGCCATCATGTTAGTACAGCTAAATGAAACGATAATTTCATAAAAAATATCATGAAAATACTGAAACATAAAACCAGCAGTGGAATGACTGAATTGATATCACCTGACCTGAGCTAGATAAAGGTCAATGTACGCGCGAACACAAATTCGCGCGGCCCGCAACTAGCGGGCCAGCCCACAATATAATAATTTACAACACGTGTCTAAATACCTAACTTATCTACTTAACCTACTATTTTGCCACTGTGCTTATCTCCACGTAGCCACTTTAATCCGAATTTACAGGTTAAATAACCCAAATAACTGGTTCGATTCCCCGCTAATGAAGAAATACTTAAATGAAATGTAACCAAGGTTGGAGTCATGCGTTTTTATTCATCGTGTAGGTATGTTTATTATTCTCATGTATTCAGTTATGTACCTATTCAGATTAGTCTAGTACTAAGTTATTTAAAAAAAAATAGTTATGAAACAGCTTACTGCTCTAAATCCTCCGTGGTCTTATGAGATGCGGCTCAAATTGTGCTCCATTCATTTCAAGGCAGATTTGGGTGCAGGCGGGTCATCATCGTGTGGTCTTCGACACAGTCCGTACGTAGTTTCTCGAAAGCATCCACGATCCTTTGGCGCATTTCTTCAGCACTATCACATTCACGATTAAAAACCCTTTCTTTCACATACCCCACAAAAAGAAGTCTAATGGAGTCAGATCTGGTGAGCGAGGTGGGCAAGCGTGTGGTCCTAGTCTGCCGATCCAGCGATCATCAAATAGCTCATTGAGGCGCTCACGGATGAACCTCACGAAATGTGGAGGGGCACCATCATGTTGGAACTATGTGCGGCGATATTCAGCCAACGATAGGTCGTTTAAAATGTCAACCAACTGTTCATTTATAAAGTTTAGGTATCGCTGTCCGTTCAGTCGCTCTGGCAGAAACACTGGTCCCAGTATGCGATCCTTAAATAAACCTGCCCATACGTTAACCGACCATCGGGTTTGGTGCCCGGTTTGTCGAACAGCGTGCGGGTTAACCTCTGAATACACGTGTGTATTTCTTCGGTTCCACAGGCCGTTTCTGGTAAATGTCGACTCATCCGTCCAGATAATGTGCTCAATGGAAGGCACACGTTGTTGCTGGTATAATAACCAACGGCAGAAAACTCGTCGGCGGTCGTGATCGCCGGGAACTAAAGCTTGCACTTTGTGCAATTTGTATGGGCGCATTGGTTACGCTTCAACACTTTGTGCACTGCACAGTATGACACACTTGTACCATCCCGACGTCTTAACAATTTATTTAGCGATACTTCGTGTACCTAGGTTCGGATACCTAACATGTTGACCACTATAAACGTACGCGTTAGGCATTATTAAAACAAAAAAGAATCCAAAAACGTAACAAAAACTTTAATATCAACACGTAATCACAAGTAAATTTATTAAACAAAACGATTGAACTGTCGCTCGCGCACGCGTGTACAAAATCAACACGGAACTGTCTCAAAAACTAAAACGAACGAACCCCGTCAAGGCTGAAACCTACTGCGTCACAAGCATGAGGCGATAGGGTTAGGCATTCTGCTGTCATAATAAAAAAGGAAGTAACTAACAAAAACGTAAAATGGAAATAAAAAATAAATTGATGAATTTTTCTTTCAGACCCCGTGTCTAAAGTATATTAAAAGGTATCTATATTGAAATATATACGTAGAGACATGAAGATTTTAAGGACGAACTTATTTTTTTTTTAATTTGTTTATTTATTTAAATAAAACGAATTTTCCTTTTCATCTTAGATTAAAAAGTACACCTGGCAACACAAAAACATCGAAGGAAAGACGCATATAACTATTTGGGTCTTCCCAACCTAATAAATAAAACAAAACTACCATTCATTTAACATTTTTACATATTATTTTGGAAAGGTCATTTGAAGTTGAAAGGACGCTAATAGTAATTTACTACTTTTTTCTTAGTAAATATTAGAAAAGCATTGGTAGTGAGACACAAAAAATAACAACCCGCAACTCTTGAGTAATGATTTTAAAGGGGATATCATACAAGACTTACTACGATAATAATTAAAAATTAAAACATTTGTACAACCGACTTTAATATAAATAATTAAGGATAACTCAAAAACTGTTGGTCTGACCTCGATCAAATTTATATGGGACCACATGTGAAACACCAGCTCTTAATAATAAGATATGAGCTCTTAATAATAAGATATAAAATAATAAGACAAGAATAATTTTAATTTAAGTAATCGATGCAAATATTGTTAAAGATGACGTAGCAACTGGTTAAATAAGTCTTTTCTTTTATGTTGAATTTGTATAAGTCTTTTCTACTAATAAAATGTCATCTGTGATCAACAGCTACGTCTAAAATTCTGACGATAATTTCTAAAATATTGATATTAGTGAATATTAAAAAAATTTAGTAGATGCGTCTTCTTATCATGAGTCGAATGGTAATTTATTCGAAAATTGTTAGATGCGCCTTTTTTTCTTATGACCGCAGCATTGTTTCATACCGAGCTAGATACAGGTCGACAGCGGAGTGAGTGTGGGTACAGTCGCGTTCTAAAGTACTACATGGTATTGGGCTATTGTTTTATAATATCATAGTAATTAATTGTTTTATTGTAGAATCATAATAGGTGTTTTACTAGCTACTTAGAACTTTGGAAGAGGTGGGAATTAAAAATAGAAAATGTTTACTTGAGCATTGTTTGTTATTTCTATCGTAAAATATAAAGTAGTTTGTAACAAAAAAACTTAAGCTAAGGGTGACACGCCGTCCATTATGACGTCTTGGGTCACATGGAAGCCAGATGTTGATGGTGTGTTGGTGTTACTGGATGCTACTTCATCATCACTTTCATCTTCGCTTGAGCTTCCGTCATCAGGTCGATCACATGGTAATTTTTTCAGTATTCTTCCTCAACAATTTTAACTTTACTGCACAATTTTCCCCATTCACCTTCTCCTATCATATTTACCTTTTCGTTCACTAGTTTAGTCATAAAACAATAGATATAAATATTTTTTTTTCCTTCCTTTTTAAAACATCGTCGCGAGTCGCAAAGTAAGCTGTGTATGCGACTGTATTTTTGGAGCGAACAAAGCGCGGGAACCAATAGCATGCAGGCACAGTAATACTGGCCAATATGTGATAAATCGCTCAGTGCCCAAGTTCAAGGCCAGCGTTCTTTTTTCACCGTTCGCGCGTACATTAACCTCCATTAGTCAGGTGATATCAATTCAGTTTCCACTGCTGGTTTTATGTTTCAGTATTTTCATGATTTTTTTTTATGAAATTATCGTTTCATTTAGCTGTACTAACATGATGGCGCGTGAATAAAGCTAATAAAACGTTGTAAAAATATGTTTTTTTTTTTCATCAGGATCAAATTTATTTATGACCCATGATCAAAGGTATACTTGGTGCTGTCGCCTGTCTTAGTTTTCGGGAGCGTTCCAAAAATACCCTGTATAGTTGAAATATTATTTAATGGTATATATTGCTGTCGCACTGTGCCCGAACGACCGAGCTAGAGCACCGACAACTGCAGCTCGTACTGATTATACATAAAAAAAATCAAGAAGGCCAAGGCATGTTATTACTTTTTCAAAATCGGTTTGTTTGGGTTTTGGTTTTTCTGTAGTATCTGCAGATATTTAAAACCATGGAATCTAAGGAAACTAATGTTGTTTTTGAATTGTGGTTATATGTAATATATTTTTAAATATAAACACAATAATGATAAGTTATGTTTACATATATTTTTTATTTTATTTTATTTATTAAACAAAATCCACAGCTCTTTAAAGTTCTTTTAATTATCTTACATAAACATCTATATCTTACAGCCAATAAGGATTTACATTTTGTTTTCTGTGGAAAGCATTTCATTTTAACCGAACCGACAATCTATTACATTTTAGCACATGTCCGTATATATGTATATGCACACGTATGTGCATATACATATAGACGGACCTGACACTACTAATAAACGAATTGTGTGTTATTGGTTCAATCGATTTCGTTTGAGAAATTATGACCCCGGAGACGAACATCATGGCTGCACAAAGCAGAAGGTTGATAATCACGAACTGAAAGCGATACCTAGTGGAAGTGGATTTGTCTCTAATTATGGTTGAGCTAGCGTTAGTTTTTCATCTACGTAAGTATCAAAACAATCTTAGATAATTTGCGGCAAATCAGTAAAATAAAGAAGTCTGACAAATGGGTACCTCACAGAGTGACGCACAGCGATAGGTTCGCGAACAACTATGCATAATATTGCTGAATTGGTATAGAAAAGGGGAAAATTTTGAGTCGAATTGTTTCCTGCGTGGATCCTACACGATAATCGCAAACGTCCATTATTAGGGTTAGTTCCAAGTGCCTAAGCCAAACAGGGCCGGAAACAAAAGTTTATTTTGACAGTTTGGTGCAGTATGGAGAAGCTGCTACCCATATAGTGAATATTGAATAACACTAATGGTAGACCTACTGTTAGTGTTTTTGGACATAATGGTTGCTTGACATCTAGTGCCACTACAGTTACTGCTAACCGTTATTAGCAAGAATTGCAAATGATGTATTTTGCCCCAACAAACTTCCCCTTTTTTCGGAGGTTATGTAACTTTTATCAAGAAGTTATCTAACTTCCGAAAAAAAGGAACAACTATTTCAATTACGAACAAGCAGTAAAGAACGCCTAAAATACTAGAGTTCACCGATTTTTATATCACATCACTTCTATAGCAAGGGCATCCACAAACTGCCCATAAAATATTACTAATAGTTTATTAAAGATTTTATTTAAAAAAATAAACGGGGGTGACCTTCGATATTCGTGTATTGGTGGCATTGGTGGTAAGAAAATCTATTACTCCAATATGCCCCGAGGTGGTCGTAAAAAGCGACTATGGAAAATGCCAAAATGTTCTTATATCTTCCGGCAGATGGCGGTATAAACATCCTGTTTACACCAGGAGGATACTATAAAGAAATAAATTCGAAGGAAGGTGCAACTGACCGGCAGAGATTGCGACAGTCTCCGTAGCGAGTGTAAGTCCCGCTGGAAGGCCTGCAGCTGAGCGTGGGGCGCAGGGTTTGACCGCGGCCCGGCGCCCGCCTCCCACACGCCCGCACGCACCTCCAACACCCAGTCGCAGCACAGCACTTGCATCAGCTGACACACACACACACATTTTAGAAAGGAACAACCGTATATTTTTACGGGACAATAACACAGAATACAACATTAGATTAAGTTTATCATACTACAGAAAAATAAATAATTACAACAAAAACAAATAATACACAAAATGAAAAAGTAAACAGTAAAAAAATGTTCGTTCATTACCTGCTAACCACTGTCACATAGCAAAAACTAATGATATAAAAAGAACAAATACATATTGCCATAAATATAAATAACCTACAATTGGACGTAGTTATACAAAAACGTTCCAACCCACAAGTCGTTCTCTGGAGCACGAGGGATCTGTGACAGCAAACACCTGGCCGCCGAGCTTCAGCACGTCAAGCAGGTTTTGCACGACAACAAGCTTCGGGTTCCGCGCCTACGTCACAGTGACCGAGTGAAGCCGGCCACAGTCGAGCGTGTGCCTGCTGTACTACCATATGTCAGAGGTGTCACAGACAAGATTGGCTACATCTTGAAGCAAGCTTCCATTAGAACATTCTTCAAGCCGCCGAAGAAGATTAGTCAGTTCTTACCATCCGTCAAGTGCAATATTCCTCTACAAGATGCAGGAGTATACAAGCTTGATTGTGAGTGTGGTCTCTCATATATAGGGCAAACAAAACGATCAATAAAAACCCGCGTAAAAGAACACATAGCTGACGTGAAGCACCAACGTTCCGGGAAGTCTGCAGTTTGTGATCATATCCTAGACGGCCCCCGTCATTACATTAGATTTGATATACCACAAGTCCTCGCGAAAGAACATCGATTCCTGCCAAGGATGATACGTGAGGCTATTGAAATTAAAAAACATCCTAATTTCAATAGAGAGGGAGGCTGGGTACTACCACCTGCTTGGGATCCTGTAATTAATAAAATTAAAACTAAACCCAAGCATACCACTGTAAGACTTCAAGACACAGTTAGTTCATTCTGCGTAGATCGGACCAAAATTAATAATTAAAAAGCTGAAGGTACTCCGGGTTAACTTTGACATCGGGACGTCAATCACCTCAGTCCCCCGTGACCACCCCGTGAAACGTCGGGAATATAAAATAAGTTAATTAAACGCGATAAAATCCGTAAAAATAGTTTTATTCAATGATAGGAACATTGGAAATATTCCATTCCCGATACTGTTAGTGCAGCCGATGTATTGTGCTGCGTTTATGGCCTCCTGTGATTTGGCCAATCGCACAATACCTTCACTCACATATTTCAAAAGTTGTCATAAACTCAAATATATTATGAAAACGTTTATATTTTAAAATATATCTCAGATTAATATATGCCACAAGGAACTGGGGTACAGTGAAATCATCTATTTTCATTTAAAATAACAATACTATTGTCATCTCATTGGCAAATCAGCATTGTGCCACGCAAAATAAAGTCAATAACGTTGACAGATGACAACAAGTCAAAATAGATAGACGTCCAGTGTGACCATATGTGGCAGGTTCCTGCCATTTTGGCAGGATTAGCCTCTTATTTTAGCCTCTGGCATGATCGGTTGACGTTTTATATAACCTGGCAGTATTTGGCAGTATTGGGGTATTAAAATAGAGTTTATTATGGCAACTTAAAATGACGAAAATGGCAACCCTAGATACTACGCCAGCATGTTGGGGATTTCCCTGTATTTCTCGATGTCTCGTATTATGTTTGTATCACATTCAATAAACAAATTTAAAAAAAATTGTGTATAAAGTTGATAATATTAAAACGAATTAACACTAGTTAGTTAATATTTCAATCAGTTATACAAGAGACGTACTTTAGTTTGGTATCGCATTAGATTTCATGGTGATAACATCTTGTTAATAATATTTCGTGGACGATAGTAATTATAGGTGACGGTAATGAAGCGAAAATATGAAAGGGCGTATAGAGCAAAGTGGGAGCAAGATCTTTTACTTTCATCATGGATCTCCAAAGCTAAAGATGATACAGACTGAAGAAAAAAAAAGAAAGAATATTCTCTCAAATAAATTAAATTAAGAAAAAAGCACGAAACAGATTTATTTACAAACATTTAGCGTCTATCTTGTATGTTAAACAAGGCATTGGTGAGCATGGCAATTGCATTGCATTCAAACCAACGAATGATATGTTTAATTTTAATTAAAAAAATATAGCATTTATATGTGTATTTTTACTTTTCTTAGTTTAATACAATGGTAAATAAAGTTGGCAGTATTTAGGCATTTTTCACTACAGATTTTGGCAGGATTTGGCAGGTTTTTAACCAAAGTGAGGCAGGATCTGTATTTTAAAGATGGTCACCCTGCAGACGTCGGTCGTACTATTGTTTTGGTTTCTGCACTCTGTGGTTGGTTTGTTATGCGATAAGTTTATATAAATTACGAACAACGGCTAGAACAACGGATATCGATACTCTTCTTTAGCGACCTACCCGGCTTGAATCAAGGAATTTAACCAAATGAGACTGTATATGTTGTATTTATTTGGTATGAATAAAATAAATACCTAATCGCAACCTGAATTTTATTTACCGTATAAATATGCTAGGCTAAGACTGAACTGCTTATGTTGGCAATAATGTTTCACACAGTAATGTTTCATAAACATAAAACATAACCTCAAAATCTCTATGATAACTGCAAATATCTAAGTTTTCAGAAGTACCCGTCAGGAGTTATTGTTCTTACATACAATTATGTGTAATTTCGGACTTAAAAAGATAATTTTTTTCACTGTTGGTTCTTGGGCGAACATTGTATGGAAGCAAAACAATCTCCTTTGGCTGGTTATTGTAAAATAACCCGAAAATAAAATAAATAAAAAGCGTTTTACATATTGTTTTACACATGCGAATTGAAACGAATAGCTTGGGGCATAGCAATTACAACAAATATTAAAGCAACACATTTCAATTTAAGTAATTACGACAAAATAAAACCACACTGTAACGGAAAAAGATATAAAATATAAACAAAATTATTAATGTCATAATATAGTTTTTTTATTCTGTTTTACTAACATAATTTGTAAGTTTATATTTTGTTCTAACCCTCTCATGGACCAAAAGTCTGAAATAAATTCATTTTATTTTTTTATTTTATTTTATAAACCATGGTATACTATATTAGATATAAAGTGGGGTGAAAGTAACTAAAGCGAGAATTGCTTTGTAGAAAGATTGCACAAAATATGGTAACAAGTGCAATGCAACTACAATGCACTCCCGCAATAGTCAATGGCACACTGCAAATTCTTCTTAAACATCTTCATGCTCCTGTTATATAACCATGCACACCTTTAATAAAATTAAATAATAGAATATAGATAGCTAGCACAAAATTAATAATCAATTATGTTGTCTTACCATCAAGAGCTGTGTTGGTTTTCGACAGCAATAATATGCCAGCGAATCTGCTAATCGGGCTCCAGCGATATCGCACACCTATAGTAACAAACGATAACGTTAACTTAAATTAACTTGATAGAGTCACGCTGCAGCTATATTAATTGACTGCCTCGTTGATCCAGTGGTCGTAAACACGGTTGCTAATCATGAGGTTTTGGGTTCGAATCCCGGGTGGGGCTAAAATCAGTTATTGGGTTTTCTGACAAATTCTCAGTAGCAGCTCGGAGGTCTGGAGGACATTATTATTATTTATAGTTGCAGCGCCAATGTGTCTCGACCGGGGAAGCACTTTATTAGGTGGACAGTGTACTCGTGTCACTAAAAAAAATGTTTCCATCTAAAAAATTGTTAGATGCACAAAATCCACTAGGCGTTCGATTGTAATCTGCAATCAACTATTTTTATAAAACGTTTATAATATTTTTTTTTTATATTTGCACGAACATTATACCTTTAGTTAAACAATTTTTACGGATTTTACAGCGTTTAATTTTAAACTTATTTTTAAGTCCCCCGTGACTGAGGATACCATGTAAGGATTTGTCCTGTCATGTCAGGCTTCTGCACTTTTGTCAGGATTGCGGTCGGATTTTGGAAATGTCAGGATTTTTCGATTTTTCGATAAAATATAGTAGGTTTTTGCGTGGGAGGGCTCTCTGCGATGTAGATTGATCGCGAGAGTGCACAAAACCAATAGATAATTGGTTTTTATCACACTTGTTAATTTACGTTTGCAACAATAAACCACTTTTCTATAGAAATCAGGTCATTTATCAGGACTTTTCAATCTTCCATCTGGTAACCCAATCCGTGCCCGAGAGTGCACTCAAAACGTCAGGAGTAAAAAAAAAAGGTTTACTGATCTCTATAATTCTTATTTCGTAAAACAAATAAGTTTACAATTAGTTAGCTAATGCCACAATTTTGAAACGGTACTTAATTTTAAGACACTGCGCTGTTAAGTCTCATGACTGTAACACCACGGGACTTAACAGCGTGTTAAAATTGAGTAGCGTATGTATTTGCGCATAAGTTCCGTGTAAAAAATAAAAATGATGTAGTTTACCTGGATTGAAGAGCATCTCCCACCCTCCCTCAATTGCGTGCACTATCACCGTCAACACTAAACTTTATAGTTTAAGATTTTTTAGCGGTAAGCTGTCGCAGAGTAGACTTATTTTTATGATTCCTTGATTAGAGGCGAGACATGGTGTGACTTTCCTATTGTAGTGGTTTTGGGAGTAGTGGTGTTGGGATTGATAGTGACGGTAATAGTACACACAATTGAGAAAAGGCGGAAATTGATCTTCATACAAGTTAAGACACATCATTTTCATTTTTAACGCGGATCTTAGATAATTTTTAACATCTATATAAATATAATGACAGACGTTTGCATTTGTGCGCGCATCACGGAAAAACTACTGGATAGATTTCAATTAGGTTTTCTAAGTTTTATTTCTTAGACACTTGGTCCTTATCTAAAAAAAATATTGCGATATCTTAATTTAATGGTAAGTGGCGATGCAACCCTAAATGGTACATCGCACTGTCTTAGCGTAACAAAAGCCTATTCTCTCTTGTCTTGAAGACGCCCTGATTTTATTCAGACTGAAAGATAGATCGGCAAAGTAACTACTCATTCTATTAATTATCCTTATTTCGTTAGTACTACATGAAATTATTATGTTGATACAAAATATTATTATAATGAACAAAACATTACGCAATTGTAGTGATTCTCACCAGCAAACAATTTCCACCAGAGTTATGTACACAATCACAGTGCTGATCTGTTACATTTTATACACTAAGTATAAACGGAAACACACACATTTGTACTCATAATACCCACCACAATACACACCATAATATCTCTTCTAATAAAACAGATTTATCAACACCATTTGATGAGGGTTAGAAATAAAAAATGCAAAATTTGAGTTCGAGTCTCATTGTTGATCTAGACCACAGAAACTTGAAGTCAATATTGAAATCTAACAAAGTGCATGATAGATTAATAGGTAGTCAGGGTGAATTAAAATATGATTTTTGTTCTATTTTAGGTTACATAGATTTGTTCTTCTATCATGCCTCTAGTATAAGTCTCTATCAATTGTTTTATCGTCCGGTACTTATTAAAAATCATAGAAAAACAGCAACACAACGGAAGCGATAATTGGAACAATACCCCAGAATTAATAATAGCAATTTTATAATAAACAAAAGAAAAAATGTTATATTTTTAAAATAAAGAGGGAAAACTTAATATTACTATTATATTGTATATTTTAAAAGTAAAATGATAAATTATTACGGATTTGGGAATAATTTAATTACTGTACTATTATTAAACCAGAACAAAAATGCAAGCAATAAGGTGGTTAAACCTTCAGCAGAATGTAGATTAACAGAATAAAATACAAAAAACGTACCTTGAGTATGGTCTCCGATGTCCTTTCGATGGAGCGTTCATCTCGACACTGAGCGAGGCTTTGAAGCCCGCGCCGACTTTTGTACGCCATGTGCAGTGCCCTATAAAATAATAATACAATAGCGATACTCTAATCGGCTAGTGTTTATGCTACGAAAGACAATAGTTATTAATACGACAAGTATAAACTATGCGCGTGTTTATAAAACACAAACGGAACTAGAATTTCTAAGTTGTTACATGTGTGAAAATGTCCATTTGCTCATTGTTAGGATTGTGGCAGATTACTAAGCGTTTGTGAGATCATAAATATTTTTCCGTAAACCGTGGTAACCCAAAAGAAATTCGCTCCGCAGTTACCAGCATTACTGAAGTAGTTTACTGCAGTTTTATGTTTAGTTATCATGTGTTGACAACGTCGTGAGAAAACTCGTACGTCTGATAAATAAAATCAAATTTCGAGGATATTTAAGAAGTCCGCAAATCAGCAACAAAATTAAAAGAAAAAGTCATTATTGCTCCATGCTCCCAAAAAAATTAAAGATAACATGGATGATTGTTATCATCAGTAACATGTTGATATGCTTTTATAGTTTAAAGTATTTTCTTTGGAGTATGAAAATTTAGAGATTTCTAGGCAAGCCATCTTTTGGACGCCACGAGGGAAGCATGATCAGAGGCACGACAACAGCAGAGCTGTGATCGAAACCAATAGTTTTAAAACAAATATTGGTTCCGTCTTAACCTGAGCCTCTAGTCTAAACAGGTCATGTCAATAATTTAGTTTGAAATAACAATAAAGCCAAAATATTTTAAATTAAAACTTGAGTCTAATATATTTGATAATAAAATAATAAAAGTTAAGTTTCAGCTACCACAGATTTATTAACTGAACAAGCCATTAATTTTAATATCTACATGATTTATTTTAGTTATTTCTAGAGTTATTTTCAGCGTATGAGAGAGTAATTCCAGTATTTTATAAGGTAGCATTAATGCGTTCTTAGAAATGTATTCGAAAGACGATGGAAAAATAAATATCTAGGGCTATAATAAATATGCAGTGGTGTTAACTCCATGCCATAAAGCCCGGGTTGCCCTAAAGAATCCGAAAACCGAATAAAAACTTCAAACATACAAAAGCTAAATTTAAATTTACGCGCGTTAATCTATTCGTATGTATATTACATTACATCCTATGTTCAGCAGTGGACTTTATAGGCTGTAATGGAATAGAACAAAACATATTTAAAAAAATATCTGTAGGTTAAGGTCAATAATAGATGAGATTAAAAGTGAGTAGATGAATTAAGGAAGTAAAGGAAGTGTATCTTCAAGCACATATTCTGTGATTCTTTTTTTTTTACAAATTAATTGGTATTGTACCTTGTGACTAATTAAGGTGTGTATAAATTTTGATAGATCAGACGAAGGTAAAATTATAGTTTTGCAATGAAAACTTGTTTCGTAAATACTGCGTAAACGTGTAAGTTTTTCCTTTGTCTCTTTCTTATATTATAAATTATAATTAATTTTAATTTTATTTTATTAAATTAATAGACATAATTTTTATTGTAAGCTTACAACAAATAGCTAATATACAAAACGACATTTAGAAGAGAATAGACTCATTTTTATTCAATATGGATTACAATACATAATACATGAAAGTCATTTTTTACTTTTACCACTGGTTCGCAAAAAACCCTATGTCCCGGGAAGAACCAGCAAGAAACCCTTTTTTTAAAGCACAATTTTCAATATAATATTTTATACAATTGTTATGAAAACATTTGGAAACAGCATGGTAGCGATCACCTCATTCCTCATTTCTCAGTCATGTACTCTTTAGTAGTATAATAACCTTACTAGACAATTTTCGCTTAATAAATAATTTAAACCTTTTGATAGAAAAGGTCTGCATATTTTCTGGGACTTTTGTATGTCTTTTGTATATCTTGTGTATGCTGCAGAACTAAGTTTGCTAGCTAGTTTAGATATACGAGGGCCCCATTGAATTGTATTCACCTGTTCAACATTGGATGTAGTGAATTTAATACATTTCGTTTAATTACCGTTCAAAAGCAAATTATTAACGTTAAACCAGTGTACTACTTTTGATATAGCATTGTTCACTTCGTCATATTTCCATAATTTCCTTTTTAGTCGGAAAAATCAACGAAGTATCATCAGCAAATAATACTATATCATGGTTATTCCCTACCAAGTAAGGTAAGTTATTAATATAAACTAAGAACAGAAAGCGACCAAGAACTGATCCCTGAGGAACACTCATAGATACTACCTTTCCGGAAGAACTGCATCCATTTATAACAACTGTTTGCGTTCCATTATTTAGATATGACATAATAATTTTAAGCGCTAAGTTTTCTACACCATAATGATGTAGCTTCCTGATTAATGTCTCATGGTGAACACAGTCGAAAGTCTTGCAAAGACCACAAAATATACTGAAAGCATCTTCTGAATTTTCCCATGCACATAAAATATGTTCGATTAACTCAATACCGGCATCAGTTGTCGAGCTACCCCTTGTAAATCCAAACTGATTGTTATGGAGTAATTTATTTACATTAAACAAACTTAACATTTGATCTAGAATAATTTTTTCAAAAATTTTACTGAGCGTTGTCAGTACAGAAATATCTCTAAAATTAGTGGTGTTCAATGTACTGCCAGATTTTTAAATAAAGGTATAACTTTACTATGTTTCATTAAATCAGGATGATAATAAAATAGCAAGTTGGAGTGCGATTTTTTAAACAGTTTTGGTTGCGTTTAGGTTAGATAAATAAAACTAAAACCACTAGTGATCAGCCCCAGCTTCGCACGATGGCTAAGAATAATTCAGGTCACCCCATAACGAAATCGGTCAAGCCCTTAGGTGTATTTTTGGTTGGGTTTGGTGATGGAATTTTATATATAAAGATCATCATCATCATCATTACAGCCCTTCACAAGTCCACTGCTGAACGAAGAATGTTACAAAGCACGGTCCTTAGCCACCTGCATCCATCGACTTCCTGCATGTCTTACCAGGTCGTCACTCCATCTAGTAGGGGATCGCCCTTCACTTCGCTTACCGGTACGAGGCTGCCATTCGAGAACCTTTCTTCCCCATCGGTTGTCGGTTCTTCGAGCTATATGGCCGGCCCATTGCCACTTCAGCTTACTAATCTGTTGGGCTATGTCGGTCACTCTGGTTCTACTGCGGATATCCTCATTTCCAAGTTTATTACGCAAAGAAACCCCGAACATAGCCCTTTCCATAGCTTTCTGAGCGACTACTGCTGGCCGTATATTTTATTTGAAAGCTGGCGCTTGATCAGGATCTGACTAGTAGTTTTTGAGTTATCCTTAATAAAGCGTTTTTTTTTTTATTTGAATTTGCTTTGACTACATTAATTAGTGTTCTCATTTTATTTATATTGAAGTCGGTTGTACAAAATTTTTAATTTTACCACTTGTCTTTTTGTAATTTTGAACGTGAACCGTCTTTCGTCAGTTTGGTACGTGGTAGAGCCATGCTGCAGCTATATTATTAGTATAGTTATTATTAGTATAGTTGTAACACGAATGGGTCGGCTCGACCGGGGAAGGACCACGCTCTCGCAGAATACCAGCGTAAAATAGCAGCTTAACACTGCTGTGTTTCGTGTGGTGAGTGTAGAGAACCGGAGGCCCTTTTTACTGGGAACGAGGCATTCCATCTTAGTCCTCACGGGTGACAACACATCTGCATTTTGATTCGCAAACGAGGATAGATATAGATGTCTATAGGCCACAGCAACCACTTACCATCAGGTGGACTGTGTGCTCGTTTGTCACCCTATCCTATAAAAAAAAATTAAAATATAACTTGCATTGGCCACCTTAGTGATGCTTTTAGAGATTGATATTCCATTTAATCGGTGCATCACTGAAACCCTAAAATGCATTTTTGCTGTTGATTTACGTGAATCAGCGATGAAAGCAAATTAATGTTGTTTGCATGTCTTATAAAAGAAGTAAGGTAACTTAAATAAAGAATACTACGCACTGAAGCAGTGTGATTGACTCTTCTCTGCTCAGTTACTTTTGTACCAGTAACAGTTAACTTGCCGTAATAATAATTACGTTATTATAAAAAATGTTTCAATAGCCTGTCCACAGCTGCAAATGAACCTCTCCATTATTACAATGGCATGCTTTTGCCATAATCGGCACGTTTGACAGGAGGATTGTCGATCGAAGTACCAGGTGTCTTTCACCTTTGACGCTGCTCCCGGATGATGATCTAGGGTATTTATTTTACATTTGGCTTGCACTATATGGTGATTTCACATTCTATGAATTAGCCATGATATTTTTCTAGCCTCTCCGATAACCGCCTCTTAAGACACCCCACGGGACGAAATGGGGTGGCGTATTATCATAGGCCGCCAACACGGCAAAAAATTCTTGTCCTATTCTCTGACCCGGGGCACAATACTGCCCCGGGTCAGAGAAATAAAGCTTGCCAAGCGTGGCCATTACGAGAAACGTTTCCCTTTATAGGGAGAAAAATAAAATCCAGGCGTGGATTTCGTTTATAGACGATAAGAAGTTATTTCCGTAGGAAACGCGAGCATGCCATTTATTGCTATATTAACATATACACAAGCTGGTACCCGGCGCATTGCTGCGGCAGAAAAATTGATTGTGGAAATATCATTTTAAATTTGTAAGGGTTATATTGTTTAAATATATTCATTGAAGTTGAATTATGTAATGTATAACTTTCAAACGATACGCGCGCCACCTATTGTAAGTTAATTGTACTATGCCTATAACCGTCGCACAAGTGCAAGCAATAAGTTGACAGGTTTAGCGCAATATGATGAACGGTAAGGCAGCGCAAAAAATACGAATAAACAGAAATTATTTTTTATATATTAAATAAATACATTAACATTTCTCGTTAGATAATCATTATTATTAAATCATTCACCCAAAGTTTTTTTATCCGTACGGCCTCTCTATCAAGTATCATCAGCAAATAATTACAAATTTATGCTAATATGCTAGATTACTAAAGTAAAGAAATGAAAATAAGAAATAAAAATGGGGCAAGAATCAAGTCTTGTAGAAGATAAAAATTTCTCACTCAGCAATGAATAAAAAAGTATACTAGCAGCATTTTTATATCAACTTAAATAAAGCTACATACCCAGGTAAAGGGTCCTCGCTATTTACAAGGGACTCCGGCAACATATTAAGTCTATCGCCTATTTCATTTGCTTTACTGATATCCCCCAACAGCCACGTAGCCGCAACACCAACAATGTTTGCCCACCACTCCATGACTGGATCCCAGCAACCTAAAAACCAACATTTGCTAAAATGTATAATACTGATTTCTTATATTTACGTGAATACTACACATTGAATAAAACTACTTTTACGGATTTATTAAACGCGAAAAAATTCGTAAAAGTAGTTTTATTCAATATGTATAATACTCTTACATTTTTAATATAATTAATAGAATGAGGCGTTACTTTGAGAAAATCCATTATATTAAAGTTGAATCCATTATATAAAAATAAAAATTACTTTGCGTATATCCGCTCTATAAAATAAAATGATGTGTCTTGCCTAGTATGAAGAGCACCACCCGCCACTATCCCAGTCACCATTAATGCCAGCACCACTACGCTACGAAAGACTCACCACCGCCGATAATACGACACGTGTTTAGCCTCTACACGAGGCATCTTCAGGTGAAGTAGATAGATACTTACTTATTAGATAAGCCACATTATTTTATTTTCTTATCTATTATCTTAGCAAGTAAATTTTTAACACCTTGAATATACATAGAATACCAGCGTAAAATAGCAGCTTAATGCTACTGTGTTTCGTATGATGAGTGTAGAAAACCGGAGATCCTTTTTACTGGAAACGAGATATTCTATCTAAATCCTTAGGGATGACAACGCGTCTGCATTTTGATTCTTAATCGAGAATAAATGTAGATATCTATGGGTCACAGCATCCACTTACCATCAGGTGGACTGTGCACACGTTTGTCACCCTTATTAGAGAAAAAAAAACAGAATGTATTTATTTTTAATTTTAACCTTGTGTAAGGGAATAGTCCAGAAAGTGACTAATTATTTCTTAAATTCCAAATATAGATAAATGTTCGTAAAGTGTGGGTAATCTTCGCGTTTATTTCAATGACCACAAATTTTATGTCGCGGAGTTGCGTATGCCGGCCCGGGTAAAATAATTAAATAATCAACATTTAACAGATTGTCACCTCTTTTTTAAAATGAGAACTTTAATGATATTCGCAAAATTTAATCTTATTATCGTAAATACTTGTTTTTGTAACTTATGATTTAATTGATTAGCACCTGTATGTTGTGGAGCGTCGGTTGAAACATCGTCGATAATTAATTTAACAAGATCGAGAACGTCGCGAGTGTTACTGCGCTCGTCTGCACACAGCAACATGTGCAGACTCTTCTGAAGCAGTTCTAGATGATAAGCCTGAAATATTTCAAACGAGCAAAAACCCTTAGTTAATTAAATTTGCCAATTATATTATATATTATATGTTCGAGATGTGCATGTAAGTGACAGGACTATCAGGAGACGCCTCAATGAAACTGATATCATGGCCAGAAGACCTGCACATGGCCCAGAGCTTACCAGGCAGCAGACTTGCATTCACACATGAACATGTGAATTGGGATATGGAACAGTGGAACCAAGTATTGTTCACAGATAAGTCCCCCTTTTGCTTACGAGTTTTGTTAAGCCAAAGAATAACTTAAATAACACTTATTAATAAGACACGATACCAAAAAAATTCTAAGATAATTAATTACTTAAAATTCAAAGTGAGTCGTTTTTTGTGCCGGTCAGTGTATTTTAACTATTAAAATGAGCCATGGTAGCTCAGGCTAGAAGCGCTCCGAACCCGGTTTCGATCCCCGCCGCCATCAGTATAATTGTTAATGGCTATTTAAGGGGCTACTCCATGCGAACGACCTTGAGCATTTGACCGGCGCGCCGTTCGCTACAATATTAATACGAGTATATTGTAGCGAGCGGCTCGCCGGAAGAAATATGTAAGACGCCACCTATTGTACGAAAGTAGTATTATTTTTTCAACATCAATAAACTGTTTTATGGAAATACACATAGCGTACAAAGATAAATGTATTTTAATTTTTTTATTCTGTATATATTAGTTGCATTATATTAGAATTATGTATTTTCATATATTATCTAATTATGAAATTTTATAATTAATTATATAAACGGAAGCATTGAAAATTGTGAGTTTAAAAGATACCTATTCACTATAAGTAAATAAATAGATAACTCGGCTTTTGTACAAATATTTGGTGCAATAAAAAATATATAAATACAAAAATCAACAAGAAGTATAAGGGTTCAATCTTTCAATTTCAGTTGTAAAAAAACATTACACCCACACTAGGATTTTCTCCTGTGTCGTGGAGGCAGTTTACAAACATAAATTGCACAAAGACAAACATCCAGACCCGGAACAATTATTTGTAGGCCATACAAATATTGTTCCATGCGGGATTCGAACCCGCGGCCCCCAGCGCAACAACTGATTGCTAAGCCACTGCGCCACCATGAAGCTAATACAAAGACTAACTTTGTATTTGCTTCATGGTCGCCGGGTTATAGCTAAAGTGACCATACGTCCCGTTTTGAACGGGACTGTCCCTTTTCTCGGTCTCCTGTCCCATTGTCCCCAAACAAAGCACCGGGACACAAAATTGTCCCGTAACTCGTTGGATGGAAGTATTCAAAGTCAACAATCTTCAACATAATTTTTTTTAATCGAATATATTTTATGTCTACCTGGTACGAATGCTCCGGTAGAAAGAGTATTTTTTTATTTTGCATAAATTGTGGACGTCTGAAAGAAACACTTACGGTTCCAGAGTTCTAAAGGCGATGTTGTTAACAAAGATAACAATAAAAAACTTGAGCAGAATTTTATTCTTATTTAAAATCATCACCAACTTTATTAAAGCAAATTTAATCCACTGACAAATGTAATTAATAATTAAAAAAAATATGTTGCATTTAATAATTACCGTCTATACCGAATATAATTTTATAGTGAACACTAATTGTATAAAGTTATAGTTTTTAGAGTATAAATAAACCCATGTCCTGTTATGAGTTAAAAAATAAATGGTCAGCTTAGTCTTTTTAGTTAAATTTAGTTTTAAATTTTTTTAGTTTATAGTAAAAAGTAGGTATATTAGTACTTTTTACCGAGATATAAGTATAGAACACCTTATGTACTCAATTATTTTTTGAAAAAGAAGAAAAAACAAGCAATAAATAATATACTATATTTTAGCAAAAAACTATAACTTAGTAATACTAATTATAACTTAGAACATAAATGAAAAACTCATAACTGACTTTTTGGCCCAACCCAGGATTCGAACCCGGGACCTCATGATCAGCAGTCGCACTACTACAACCACTAGACCAACGAGGCAGTAGTATACCTGATAAGATATTGTGGTTGGGTGATAATATTGAATTAGCCTTTTATAGTGTAAATTATAATATTTGTCGAAATTTTAATTATGGATTCGAACCTTACATGCTAATGGTGCTTCATTTTTTTATTTGCATTTACTTCAAAGAAAATACACGCAAAAATCTTCATCGCGCAGTAAAAAACACAACAAATATATGTATAACTAATACGAAAAATTATACCCAAAACAAACAAATAATACTACCTATAAATAACCTAATAAGTAATAATATTATCGACTCATATGACGTGGCGTATGCGTCGGTCGACGCTCTAACGACACGGGCTTCCCGTCGAAGAGCTCAGCGCTCACTGACTTCATCAAGCCCGTGAGCAGTATATACGCCCAGATTTTAAAATAATTTCTTAATAAAATCAAATTTTGGTCTTTTGAAAAAAATTTTACTATAGAAATGTTCATTAATAAATTGCCTATCCATTGGTGTAAATCGCAAAACAAAATAATACTTACTTTACGAGGAGATGCATGTTATCAATAATAATTTCACATTTATGTGGTTTCGTTGTAAGGAGATTATATTAATATGTATTCCTTTAAAAAAAAATTGGATATAGCTTTTATGGAATCAAGATTATGTAGAAATATAATGTGTTTTTTATTTGTTGATATATCTTTTAAATAAAAAGTAGATAGCTCCTAAAAATCGCCCAAATAACGACTAGCGCGACATTTTGCTCAACCTGCGCCTTAAAGTGTTAATTTAACATATCCTCGACGACAAACAAATTATCGTGAGGAAACCTGCATGTATGAGAAGTAAAATAGTCACCTTATCTCGTCCGATGGGTATCGTAAAATGATATCATAGTAAGATACTAATATGGTAATCTTAAAATACGACAATCGGTGGTCTAATATATACGGTAGCCTCAAATCTACGACAGACAGCAGTGTAATCGCGTTATATATGCCATAATATGTTAAAAAACCTGTTCGAAAACGAGAAGCGTTTATAATTTGTTTACCACCAGCTAGTTTTCCGGACCGATACGACTTACGGACCTTCAATAGACGAGCTTACTCCTTTTTAAAAGGCCGGCAACGCACCTGCGATTGCCCTGGTGTTGCAGTTGTTCATGGGCGGCGGTTGACACTTACCATCACGCGAACCGCATGCTCGTTTGCCCCATCTTCTATAAGAAAACCGTACGAGATCTTCTACAGAAGATCTTCGCAGTACACTGCGTTCACTGATCCACTTGTTAATCGTGGCGATAAAGAATAAATTCTACATCATGCGTCCAGCAGTGGATAGTGTATGGACCGATGAAGATTATGACAAAAAAAATGTGTATAATAACATCATGGTTATGTATGGTTGTCACACAGATATGGACAACTGAGACCATTTACACATTTGGACAATTATAATTTGCCATTACGAATTGGCCTATATTGCTATTGTGGACGAAACAACCTGGGTGGTCCTTTGCGGCACATTGATTCATGAATGAATCTAATATTACAGCCAACTCGGGTTACAATTTAGGGCTAAATTACTTAATATCATCGGGAGGGGAAGGAGGGGGGGGGGGATTTACTCGTCGGAGACGTCCACATAGTTAAAGCTTGTATTGCTGTTTATGTTGGTAATAATTATTAGTACATTTATATTAATGTTACAACCACATAAGCAACGCATTTTTTTATAGGATAAGGGTGACAAATCAGCACATAGTCCACCCGATGGTAAGTGGTTGCTGTGACCCACAGACATCTACATCTATCCTCGGTTACAAATCAAACTACAGATGCGTTGTCACCCGTGAGGATTGAGATGGAATGCCTTTTAAATATGAATTTTCTTATGAATTTTCCGGTAAAGAAGGTATCCGGTTCTCTACACTTATCATACGAAACACAGCAATGTTAAGCTGCTATTTTACGCTGGTATTCTGTGAGAGCGTGGTCCTACCCTGGTCGAGCCGACCCATTCGTGCTACAACTATACCAGTAATATAGCTGCAGCATGGCTCTACCACGTAATAACACGCATCGAACATCACACAGATATCCACACGCATATGAGCACGCACGCACACACGCACCCGCATAGCGTAGGCGAGCGGGTCGGCGGGGTTGGGCAGGCGGGAGAGCAGCGCGGCGTGCGGCGGCGCGCGCGCGTAGCTCCAGCGGCGCGAGCGCAGGAAGCGCTGGCCGCGCGCGCTGCCCGCCCACCGGCAGCGCGCCGCCGCCCGCGCGCACGGCGCCTCGCACCACGCGCTGCACGCGCGCAGGTAATATCTGCGCAAAACCGCAACCTTATGCCTCCTCTACACTACCCGCGAAGTAGATCGAACTTGGACGAGGCGAATAGTGTACAGAGGTACTTCGATTCACTTCGTCCAACCTCGCTTCGCCTCGGGCGACTTCCGATCGCTGTCGGTTTTTTGCGCCAGAGTCAAAGGACTTCGCGAAGTACCCCGAAGTTACACGAAGCGTCTCTCTACACTACTCGGCATACGCCAGTTATTAATATTTTTTTTTTATATATATTAATATTAAATATGTATCTTTCTACATAATTATTTATTTAGTTAACGCATTGACGTCGTACTGTTCACACAATTAGTACCTATAGCAGCTGCCTCTTAAACGTCATTCATGTTAAAGGTGCGGGAGACTCAAGGCAACTGAGTTCTTCGCGAAGTAGCACGAGTGTGTGGTCACGTTCTACGGACTGCGATCGACTTCGACAAGCACTTCGTCGAAGTTACTTCGCAAGTAATGTAGAGAAAACATTACAATAAGACCGATCCGCGACTTTTTCTCTACAACCAGGGCGGCGCTTACTTTGGATAAGGTGAAATATTTGACAATTTCATAACAGGGAAAATTATTTTGTTAGAAAAACATATTGATTAATGGTTCTTTCTGAAATATTAGCTATATTTTAGGGACTTCTAAGATTCTTACGGCGCCACAATTTAAAGGCGGATTCGCATAGATCTCGACGAGATACGCTGAAAGTAAGAATAAAACTTTTCGATATCTCGCCAAGTTTCCGAGATATCGATACTCAATAATGGAATATCAAAACCGAATTAGCATGCCCCGACTCCACATAGTCTTGTCTGCCCTAACCCTGTGATTAAGTATTCGACAATGATTTAGATTCACAACTGGACCCAGTAGGTGGCGCTGTTGTCGATATCCGGAAATCACCCGTGCGAAGCGGGGCGGATCGCTATTTTTTTTTATAAAAAGGTAGTAATATATGCAATTTTATTTTATTTTTTGAACCTCTTCGGGTTATCGAACTTAAAAAACGGAGTATTTTTCGGTTGCGGTTAAATATAAATGACTGTAAATAGAAACACTCACCCGCACAACCAGTTTCCAATTTTTGGCATATAATCCTTAAACACCAAAGCGGCGGTGACGTAGGTGTCAGCCAGAAGTTGCCTATTACCAGTCACTTCTGCCAAGTTGATAGCCTGTAGCGCCAACAACACGCGTTCGCTGCGACCGCTGTGGTCCGACAATATTTCCAATTGCGCTAAGCGATTCGAAACATTTGATACTTCGGCAGCCCAGTGTCGTGTGGCTCTTCGTGCAGGACTAGATGGATAAGTTATGGCTTGTTTTATTAAAAAGACAAAAAGGAAAGATCTTAAAATGCAGTGGTTTGGTAAATTATCAATACAAAAATAGTTACATATATTCAACAATAGATTATGAAATAAAATATATTTATAACTTATGAAATCAATATTCAAAATAATTACAAAGAAGAAGAATAAAAACAGAGGAGGGAGGGTGAGGATTGAGGCTCAGCATATTTTGCTCTAACGGGCTCGGGCCGCAACATTGCAGCTTCGTATTCCTTCCTTCGTATTTAGGATAGACGGAGTTAAGAATTAATAAAATATATAAGAGTCAATAAATGCAAGTAGTGTAAGTTGGTGCTTTGTCGCAGTCTATGGAAGAGGACTATGTTCAGCGGTGGACTTGTGATAGAATAGTTTTTATATTAGTAAATGTTCAGGTAAAAAATACAATTTTACTAAAAAAATTAGATGGAGGTAGTGGTACTTCTCCTCAGTTACTAGTATAGTACCAACAATTTTGTTAACATTAGAATATAATTATCAAAACCCATTTAAGTAAAAAGAACAATACATTTATTACACAAATATACCAAAAAGGAAGAACATTGAGTATTTACTATTTGTGCAAATTTTTTTTATATAGGGGATAAGGGTGGTAAAAGTGTACACAGTCCAACTGATGGTAAGTGGGCGCTTTGGCCCATAGACATTTTCATCTATCCTCAATTAGGAATCAAAATGCAGATGTCACCCTTGAGGACTAAGGTGGAATACCTATTTCCAGTAAAAAGTATCTCGGGTTCTCTGCGCTCATACGAAACACAGCAGCGTTAAGCTGCTATTTGACGCTGGTATTCTGTGAGAGCGTGGTCATTCTCCGGCCGGGCCGACCCATTCGTGCTACAACTATACCACTAACATAGCTGCAGCATGACTCTACTACGAAACAGGTACACTGAATATATGTAATTAATAGATGTTTTTTACCTGTCCGTCCATAAATCACCAGCACGACGGGCTAAGTAGCCACCAAAAGGCAACCGTTGCAAAATCTGTCTTAGTACTGCAGCAGCAAGAGCAGAATACTTTGCGCGACCTGCACCTCCAGCTTGCACGCTCTTTCCACACACGCTCAATGAACGATGTAATTCTAATCTTGCATTTGTTAGATCACCCTAAAATCAAAATAATGTTTTAATCAACATGTAGTCTTTTGTTTCTATTTTCATCATCAACTTGGTCGAATAACTTTTTAGAGCCTTTGACGTAATTATTAATTAAATTAAAAACGCCATGCTATTCAGCTTTTGACGTCACTGCTCTAGTAAATAAAACCATTTTGCAAAAGAATAAAATATTTTTGGATGTTTAATAATGAGTTTTCATTTTTATCATTGGTGTTGTGCCTGAATGCAACAATACGAGCATAACAACGCCGAGGAAGTTATGGATTCAAGTGCCAACTAATTTAAATATGAGAAATACTTGGTTAAAACTGGCAAGAAGAGACCCCAAGACATTGTCTATAAAAGTAGACTATACTTCTGTGAAAATCACTTTGGTGTAAGCATGACTTATATTTAATTATCGTTTACACAAAACAAAACATCATGAGGTAATAGGTATTGCAAGTCAAATTTTGTAATAGATTAGGTGTGAGATTGTAATAATAGAAAAACCGCCGAAACGCTACGCTAACGCTATCTGCGGAGCGTTTTGGACGTTTGCAGCACAGATTAAAAAAATATTCTTAATATTGAATTATAAAATTTATAATGCACTTTTATAAATAGAAATAACATTTTTCGTTTACTTTTTACAAAACATATCATAAATACGTATTTTTTTTAAATGATGGAAAATACCTTATTGTTTTTCGGATTTTACATCTAATTTAACAGATTTGATAAGATTATTTTAAAAATTTAAGCCCGTAATTTATTACATATAAATAAAATTGAAGTGTTATTTGCATGGTATTAAGACATGAATGGTGACAAACACTATTGTACAATTACCAACCTTTCTCTCGCTCTGCTTTATTTAATAAGCAATTCTTTACGTGATCGAGATAAAAGTCCATTGCTGAATATAGGCCTCCCCATAGAATGCCTCATAGGGGGGGATATTTACCATAGTTGCCACACTTGGCAAGTGGGTTGGCAACCGTAGTTTTTATTTTAAGTCGTTATTACGAAGACACTGCTGCCCATCTCCTGATTTGTTTTCCTCTGTCGCCTCTTGCGACACCCACGAGATGATATGGGGTAGTGAATATTCTTATACCGCCACTACATGGTGAAGAATTTCATTATTATGAAAAAATGTTTTTTCATCAGCCTGTCTACAGCTAGGCATAGGCACCTTTCTCATTGTAGTAGTGTATCGACACGCTTGGCAAGAGAATTGTCGATAAATTGGCGATTACATTTCGCTTACATTAGATGGTGACGCCGTCATCTATGGCTACTTTCATATATACCTAATACGAAATCCACGGACCGAAATGAGGTGAGATTCTCTTACGTCTTTTACGTTGTCACAGCAAAAGCTTTTGACTTGCCCTATTCTCTGACCCTGGGCATGCCACTGATAATGGCGATGAATACTACAAAATGCGACTGTGAAGGCACTGTCTAAAATTCATAATAGCTAATTTTCGTTACTGCTTTTCTTATAACTGGAGCGAGTTAAGCACAATTTCATGTTACGTAAAAGCGATATTAATAATAACTCTTATGCTTTAACTACCCGATATTGTAGATTCATAATAATTAGCATATAAATAACACAGCATGCTAAATGAAGTTCTATATGCACCACTTTCCATCAGGTTAACTTATTTATCACTCTATTAAGTATGAGTTGTAAATAAATCAATACATTAAAACTATCTATATATTTTAAAATACTTATTTCTAACTAAACTTACCTTTTTTAAATAATTTTCAGCCTGTCGTTTGTGTGTGTAAAAGAGACCAGCTTCTTTTGATTGTGATTTTGGAACAGAATCTCCATAAACCAGTAACTTTATAAGACATAATCCAAGTATGATAAAGTTCACTAAGTAAATAAGAGATTTGTTGAAAAGCCAGAATCCCCACGATGCTCCAACGGAACCTAGGGTCATTAGGTAATTGTTGTATAGGTAATATTAAAGAGACTAAACATTAAATATGGCGACATTTCTAATAGACTGTATAATGTATAGTCTGTACGGATTAGAAATGGCGGTTCAACCAGCCCATACCGTCAACTTGCACAGTACCAATAGCGAAAACCCGCTAATAACGGTATAACGTTATATTATTAAGTTAATTGGAAATTTTCTATTAATGGGAAAATATTTGAAAAGAATTGTATACACAATTAGGTATATATCAGTTGTCAGTTCTTGTAGCTATATTGTCGACCCATTGCCACTTAATCTTACTGATCTGTTGGGCCATTTCAGTTACTCTGCTTCTACTGTGTATGTCCTTATTATCAAGTACATTACACAAAAACACTCTGAGCATGAGTTTCCTCATACGGCCAGTGAAAGACCTCAGCTCAGATCCATTTGTCATCACTAGCAACACACTTGTAGACTATTGCTTTCAAGCTTTTAGGTATATGTGACGAGAAGATGTGTTGCAATCTCCAGAAAGCTGCCCAGCCGAGTTGGTTCCGTCAAATGACCTCTCTATCTAAGTTGGGCTTACCTAGTCGGACAATTTGTCCTAGGTAAACACATTTGTCAATAACTTTGATTATTTAATTACAAACTGATATTTAAGAAGACACATTATTTTCAATTTATAGAAGTCTTTATGCAAAGAAAAAGATCACACTGTTACTAATATGAAAATAAAAACATTAAGATGAGAACTTACTGAAGTTTTCATCAGATAATATTCTTCTTTGATCAAATCTTGTTGAATAGTCAGTAGATGTAGATTCAAACATAGTAGCTCCAAAGAAAGCACTAAATGGGTTAAAAGCAATTAATCCAACCATAAATGCACAAAGTGCTAAGCGAGAGTGATCACCCATTCCTATAACCACTTTTGAATATTTCTCTTCCACCTGGAAAATTTAAATAATAATAGTAATTAAAAATACTCAAACCAGAGAAAATGATGAATGAATGATTTAAAATTTATGAAAATAGTTATAAAGTCAAGTTACAAATATTTTTCTAAATGTTTTAAACTTTCTCTTTACCAATGAAAAAAATTAAATATCAAAAATTCTGAAGATAAAGTATAAAATAAACCTTAAAGTCTGGAGAAGATGGTGAATCACTATCGAGAGGGTGTGGTGACTGGTATGGAGAAGAAATGTCACTATGTGGGGGTGTGATTGCTCCGTCGAAAACTGGTTCCTTTACACCAGACTTTTGGCAAGCTAATTTTAAAGCAGTGTTCTCCTGCTTCAGTCTGGTGTTTTGATTCTGCAGATATTTTATGTAGTCAATTGTTTTCCTTAGTATTGCAGATTTATTCAGCTGAAATTTAATATTTTTTATGAATAATAATAGTTTTGATTACGTTTTAGTTAATGATTGTTGAACAAGTGTGGAAATTTATTTATCTATGAAGATAGTTAGTGAAAATCCACCCACAAATAAACTTATTTTAATCGTTTTATCGTCTTTTTGTATGGGTATTAAGAGTTGTTCCAAAAAACCTAATTAACTATAGTAAAAAAAATTCTCAGAGCTTTTACAATAAATTAGAATAATATATGATTTATATTTATATACTAGGTCACGGGAAAGATATCACTTAAAACGCTGAGATTCAATAATTTCATTTACAATGGTTTTCAAGTAATATATTGAATAAATAATAATACTGAGTAGAATTAAAAGGAAAATTAATAATTTAATATGAAGTATAACATATTTTTTATGATAAAACTTAGAGCAAATAAATTGCATAAAATATGTATCAAAATAAAGTTATTTTTCCTGATGTGTCTCACATTTTTGAGTACTTTAGTTGTTTTGGTACCATTGATGTTTTGTTTGTTACTATAATAAGGATAGTTTGTCTGAAATCATATATTATGTATATGTTCCTGTATACAACAAAATTGATGATCACAAGAATTTGCTTACTTTAGATGGTTGAATATTAATAATCACTTTGGATGTTTCGAAATATTTGATCACCTTGACTTCTACCTTCCTTTTGATGCTACCTGTACCTACACTAGGCAAACGATTAATAGATAATCCCCAAAGGCATATTAGTAAATACGAATAGAGGTCACCCGTAACCCAAAGTTCATGGGTTACGGGTGATGACAACGTGTGAGGCAGGCAAGCCAAGTGAATGCAGCGGCCGGAGAAGCGCCGAATTTATAGGACGTGATACTGTTCCCCTCCTACCTCTTCCTTAACCCCTATTAAGGTGACTAATTTCGTTTTTAAAGTATAACCCTGAAAATAGATTCTAAGCATGATATTTCAAAAATGCTTAAAATCCTAGGCAGTATGAGATGTGCATGAGAAGGGTTACTCAATTTTGTCCAGTGGGTGTCGTCAGGGCCAACTATGGCATATAGCAGAAAAATCTTATGGCTTCCGAAAGATTTCGGTATAACCATCTTCTTTACATCATACATAAAATATGCATATTGACAACAGGTAGTAATGTCAAAGATGTGGGACATTTGGTAATGCAATTGTCAATTCGCCTGTCAAAACTAATCCTCCCTACATTGAGAGACCCAGAGAAGAAGAATAATTCAGATGAACACATGCTTCTTCATATACAAAAGCCATTATATTATACTATGTAGCATTGGGTTTCTTGCAGGTTCTTCCCAGGACAGAAGTTTTTTCAGAACCAGTGGTAAAAGTAAATAATGGCTTTCAATAAGTATTACATGTAATCTATAATAAAATAAAAATTATTCTATTCTATTGTATTCAATTTTCTAATTTTTTTCATTTGGGCAAGAAAAGAACCAGTTCTCTTGTCACCTGTGACAACCACCAGTCATGGATAGTTCCTTTAAAAACTTTACACATTAAATTAAAGTAATAAAAAAATACATTAAAAAAATTTCTTTCTTTTGTTAATCTGAAATAAGCAAATGATTACCTTGGCTTCTTCCCCCACAAGCATGTTCTTCAGCTCAATTATCCTATCATTAATACTAGTCCTGTAACGTCTCTCAATTGCATTATGGGCACTTCTTTTCACCTCTTTGACTTTGGGCATTGCTAAATTTGGTACTTGGTTCAAGGCAATCTTATCACCATCAAGGACAACAGGAATACCAGTTAAGACTGTTGGGCCATTATTGCTAGTGAAAAATGTATGTATTGGCCTATTTTCAGTACTTGAATTTGTATTTGTTAATATACCTTGATTAGTAGTAGCTGCAATAAAATGACTCAAAATTAAAATTTTAATTATGTTGTATAATATTATAGATATTTAGAACTTAAAAATGGCCCATTTTAATAAGTAATAAACTTTATTTCACAACCACTTTACAATGAGGATACAATGTTATATACTCACTACTTACATTTGAGGCAGCTTATGGAGAGTTGAAGTGGAAGGAGATGAAGACTTTTTCCTATATTACTTTTATTTTCTAACTTACAAGGTAACTACTGTGACAATATGAGTACACAGGAATACTAGACTACCTAACTTACAAATTAACTACTACTGGGCTATATGTTGAATATTCTTAAGTCACATATGTGAATTGAGTCATGTCTTTGAAGACAGCTGATATTTGCTTAGCAGGCATTGCTGTATGGTAGATGACTTTCTGATGACACTATGTTAAATATTCTTAAGTAACATAAGTGAATTATGTCTTTAAAGATGTGCTGTTATTTGCTTAGGAGGTGGTGCTGTATGGTAGGTGACTTCCTGATGGCATGCATAATATGTAACTTGCTATATGCCAATAAAAAAAATACTAATATAAATATAAAATATCTTATTCCTTTAACAATAAATTGTCTACAAAAACTTTTAAGTGCCTGAAATGTGTATGAATGGTAATGTAGATTATGTAAAATGTACAATTTTATAGAAGTTAGTTCAACTAGACTACATTTATCTTAAAACAATTTGCAGTGCTTGAATAAGTTACCAGGTTCACGTTTACTAATTTTCATTTTTTTTTCAATATGGCCTTAGGTATTTTGTTACAATAGTTCTGCTAATGTGTGGACTTTGAATTTTAAAAATGTTACCCCCACAGTAGCAACTCTTCTGGTGTGGCAGATGTGTTTTATAAACATAAATTATACATGGGGAAAACCCCAGAACCGGAATAATTATTTTTAGGCAATACAAATACTGGGAATCAAGCCTAATAACCCACAGAGCTACAGCTAATATCCATCAATGTGATGTTATATAATTAAGTATTAGAGTAAAATACCCTTTTTTTACTCTAATGCCTAAAGTTTAAAAAAATTGACTAGGTTGTGGATTCAAATATTATAACTAAGGTAGCCTTTAGCTTTGAAACGAAGCTCATATTTTCTATTTAAATATGTGAGGGAATGTCTTCTTATTTGAAAGCTGTCAATTTTTCTAACATTAATTTCAATCATCATTTGAACCTCGTATAGCAAAATCCATGATTTTTCAATCAATACTTAAAATAAAATAAAAGCTCACCTGGTATTGGTTCATTCATATACATCAAAGTCTGGGCATCTGGATTGATAACACTAGATCTTAAAATAACCGGTGAGTAATTTGGATCAGCACTTTTAAGAATAAATGGAGTTACTGTTTTTGCATTATTTGGTATCAGGAGTGACTGGGTTGATTGATGTGTTTTATTTGCCTGAGTAAGTTGTGTGCCTCCATCAATTTGCACAAGAGAAGCTCTACCATCTGGAAATTGCTGTAGGTTTGCTTTAGTAATATTGACATAAACTGGACTTGGAACCACCTGTTGAATAACCATGGGTTGTGGTGAAACCCGAGTCTGCCCGTGCTGAGTAACATCAGGCAAAGGTGCGCCATCGTTAGATGGTTCCAAATTATATCCTTCATCCCTGCTATACACGCCAAGTATTGGGCTGCTCTTCGGTTGTGGCGCATCATTTGGCTGTGTTTTTCTATTTTGCGAATATTGGGAAACTAATGGATTTCCGCCTGCATTACACTGGGGCGATGCTTGAGATTGCTTGTCAATATTACTTTTATTGTCAATACACCAATCTAAATTTGGATCATTATCGACTAATGAAAGCTCTTCTTCCAATTTACTCATAAAATCACCATCGTATCCGTTGATAAAGTCTGTAAACGCAAAATATTACATCATATTGATATTTTAACAAGTTTTTAATTTAATGTTAAAGTTACTACCTTCCAGTTCAGATATATCATTAACGTTGAAGATTTCATTATTAAGAAATGGTTCTTGCTCCATTGTGAATATTATTTATAAACAAAAACTATTAATCATACTTTTCTCACACTTATTCAAAAAGTTGCATCAATTACACCTTGTTTACATTTCGGAGTTTTACTTTTTGACATAAGATTACGTTTTGTTCGACCAATCAAAGGCCACGGTTGCGGTGGTGTGATTCTAGTTCAAAGAGTATAGAACTGTCCTATTCTAGTTCTACGTATGAGTAAGAGTAATTACAGTATGCGTATAGAGTCTACAATTCTCTAACGTCAGTTTATGCGATATCTATGACAATTCTACATAAAAGTCGTCAATATATTTCTCACTTTTTATGAGACAAATATATTCAAGACATATGGAGAGGGCATATTCCACAATAGAAATAATAGTTATACAAATATCTATAATATCGACACACACTTGTCAAAAACAGTTTTGTCTCCTTTTAACAAAGCTGTAGCTGCAATAGATAAGATAGACATCTACAGTTTGTAAAGTGCTTATTTTGGTAATACTTTCGTGTGACGTCATTAGCTCATCCATGCGCGACTGCGCTGTCATGTTAAGTGCCAAGTTTTGAGGTAAAATTATAGATCTGCTGTCAAACTGTCAAAAAGACAGTAAAATAGTGTCTTACACTCTTATCTATGGTGTCGATAGAAATTATTTTTAAATTAATTTTGTTCAGAAATGAATATATAATAATAATAATAGTTTATCAATCCTGGATATCATATTTCATCCCCCGTTTCATGGTTATGCCAGATTTTAGAATTTTAAATAAACAAAATTAATGTACCTGCGAAAATAATAATATTTTTCATTTAAAATCCGAATAAACAAAATAAGTATGATATCCGGCAGGACCGAACATGCTTATATAACTTAAATTATGTGCAGAACGTTATTATATACTAATTAATAATAAATAAGTATTGATTTTAAAAGCAGTTTATTTAATTTTTACTTAACTAATCATTATTATTTTATAATAAAAATACTGTAATATGGGATTATAATACGGAATCAAGGATCTCCAACTGTCAAATAGATATGGTTTGCCATTTTAGGTGTGTTACGCAATTAGGCTAGGGATTTAATTTCTATAATTATATGAAATAAGAACAAACTTATAGTAGTAAAAATATCGATATCAGCTGCCCATATTGCTAAGTTACAACCCTATAAAAGGCGGCCATTTAATGCGCCAGATATGTTTAGGTAGTCACGTTAATTTTGTAGGTATGCCCAGTCCATATACTTCTAAGTCAGTGATTCAAGATGTCCGTCTAAAAAGAAAAGTCAAGTGGTCGTCTTTGGTTTCTTTTTACTGTACTAAATGGTACTAAATAAAAATGTTAATAAGACCCATAGACTTAGAATAAGTCTATGATAAGATCGTATCTATTCGTCCAAGATCGCACTTTTTGATTTATTTGACAAATGCCATTCTAATGAGGGCATCCACGACTTTTTTGCCATCAGGGCGGCGCCAACAGAAAGTGAAGTATAATATTTGGCAGATATCATAGCGGGGAAGTAAATTTTTCGGTAAAGTAAAGGTTATTGTTTCTTTCTGCACTTTTAGCTAAATTTTATATTAATAAGATTAAAAATAAATAAACTGAACCGCAGATATTCATAAAAGTAGAAAACTTTAAAAAAATGTTAAAAATGTGCAAAAAATTAAAGAGCAAACCACTGACGTATTGTTTTGTGTATTAACATAATACTCTAGAAACTGATAAACTTTTATTAAAAACCAACTTCTCAATTAAATTACATTGTGTTACAAAAACTTTACCTCAGTGTTAACTAGCGACATCTGGTGAGCAGAAAATTATTAGTCTATAACATTTTACCGTAGTGTTGCTATATAGTTTGTGCATTTTACTACATAATTTTGACATATCCATAACGTTTATAATATTATATATAATATAAAAGTTATGGATATGTCAAAATTATTCAACTGTTAAAAGCTACGTATATTCAACTTATTTTATTTTGTTATTTAGAGGCCAATTCTGGCTTACAAATTTCAACTAAAAGGTCAGTGAATATATAAGACAGTTATCATAATAATTACTTTTTGTGTATTTATCCATTTATAAAGGATTTCTGCTGCGTCATTGTTAGCTGTCAAATCATAACGACTCATACAAAGACGTTTAAGTAGTAATAGCTCAGAACAATAACTAAAGCATAGAAGTAGTACTAGATAATTAAACGTACATTGTAATATACAAAAGAGTATTAACTAGTGATGTGCCAGTAAAAATAATTAATGCCGATATCGGTAATGGTATTTTTGTCTATGGTAATCATGAAAGCGTGGAATCATATCCTCAGATTTGTGATATGGTGTCTGTGATTTTCAGAGTTTAATATCTCTACATGACTAGCATCATTATACTAAGGTGGCGCGGCCGGCTGGGCCGTAATTTCAGTAGCGTTCGAGTTTTTAATTTTTTTTAACCAAACTACTGAAAAAACATCGAGCGCTAGTGAATCTTGGCACCGCAACCTTAATAAAAACCACAGAGTACTTTTTATACAAATTGGAAATAGTAAGTGTTTAGGCCAAATAATTAATATTGTAAAAACTTGGATACAAGACACGTGTCTCGGCGTTTTCGCCCAATGGAATTTAAAGGTCACCTCCGGCCCCCTCTCTCGGGTGGTTCTCTCGGCCGAGCGCTCAGTCGCTCGACGCGTGGGCGAAGTATAGTATTGTTTGCGATCGTTAGTAAGTTGGGTGTGGCCGGTGTCAAGAAATGTGCGCGTCCGCCGCAGTCTCGATTAGACGGAATTTACTATCGAATATTTGGGTCTCGTGAAGAACGCCTCCTTTGCGTTGTCTAATTTCGTTCGTATACGTGACAAGAGACTCTCTTTGAGGTTTTGAGTGATTGATTTCACTTCTATTGCCATTAATTTGCATAGACGAGTTGTTTGTGTGTCATTTTGATATCGTAATAAAACATTGGCTTTGTCGGGGGAACGCTACGAATTTGAGACTCGAGTGGAGATCGCGTTTCTGCTTGATTATAATTTTGTGCTAAGTGACCCTGGAACATTGAACTTTGACCGACCGTTCTTAAGTTGTGCAGCGTGTCACTTGTTTTAATTTCGATTAACGTTGATTTAGTTGAATTTGAAGTTAATTAAGTGTACAATAAAGTTGATAAACTAATATAGTCAAAATAAAAGCAGAAGTTTTCAATTGGTGAACGCCCACTGGAGGGATCGCACATTTGGAGAAAAGCAGCGCCTGTGGATCCGCTGTCCGACTACATCGGTTAAATCAGGTGACATTTATACACACTTTCACACACTACTTATATACACCTCACTTACCACCTGACTGGTACCCTGTGGTCAACCCTACCTCCGGAACTCGGTAAGTTTTTGTTTGCTTAGCAGCCATTAATAATAATCCATAGGCCATTGGGCCCGAACCCTCGGCTGCTCGTCGAGGAGGCTACTATGGGCCCTAGCCCAGTCGACTTTTGCCGGGGCAGCTGAGGGCCGTAACAGTGAGATTAATCAATACAACAATAAAATTAAAAAAAATATATTTTTTAATTATTTCTCACAAATTCTATGTACAACACATTATAATACGAAATAAATAAATAAGTTATTGTCCTTTAAAAATAATTGTTTTATTTTAAAATGTCCTAATTTTTTCTTTCGGAGTAGAAAGCTTTTTGGTAATGTTGTGAATCCTAATTTTTAAAAACTCTTTGCTGATAAACTGTATTAACAAGTTTTTATCATCGTCCAGTAAATTATTGTCAAACGAATGCTCGTCTAAATTACTGAATATAGATGTTGGCAATATTATTTGCGATATTTCATTAATCATTGTTAAAAAATATTTAGGCTGTCCTAAGAATTTGGAGTCTATTCTAATTTCGAACTCGCACAGTATTTTTTCTGCAGTTTTACACACCTTTTTTACACCTTCCGAAGGTTTAGTCAGGCCTCCTCTCTCTTTAATAGATATCAAAGAAAACGGATTCTGCACTGTTATTTTCCAAACTTTGGAGACATTTTTCATATATGACTTCCTTTTTTATTTTTCTGACTACATAACCAGCTATATAATCTACAACGTATTGTGCGTATTCTGTTAAATTTGAGGCACGTAAAATATAATCATGGTCAGAATAATTCTCGGAATTAATGTCCACATCAGGCAAGTCAATTAGTCTACCATTTCCAGTAGATGAATTAAATAATTGTTTATATTTTTGATTATTGTAATTTAACATTGTTATATTTATATCTAGAGGAAGACAATTCCCTGTTGAACCATCTTTTAGCTCTGCATGTGCCAGCAACCGTTTGTAAGCAGCCCTGTACATTTTTGCCTATAGGTTATTATTGAAACCACATTTAGACCTTATGGCTCCGAAAAACAGTTCAATATGGTCGTTCATATTTTCATTTTAAGTTTACGTATGAAAAGGCAGGAAGACTAATTCAAATTTCAAATAAATGTTGCATTCCTAATAACACATAGTTTATTGAAATATTATTTATTTTTTACAATATATTAAATTTGTGGGTTTTGAGCAGAAACATGGATCTGTCCGTAGTTGGAAGAGCAATCAGTAACTTTGTAAGTACTTTAGTTTTGGTTATTGGTCTTGGCTGAACTTATAGGTACACAGATATTTTAAAACACTGTTTTCTGGGAGGACATATTTTGGTACAAACCAACTAAAGAGTCCATGCAGATTATAAATCCTCGAAAACCTGTCAATCTTTTAGAATTAATAACGAACGAAATATCTGTAAATTTTAAATTTTTTATATATTCTTTAGCGAAACCAAAAAATATTTTGGTTTCGTCAAAGTTAAATATTGCTAACGTACGTTTCCATCCTTTTGCCCGCATATTTCGGCTATTTATTATATCAAAGAGGTTATTAAATATTCTAACAAATTGTATTGTACCCGTACAATGAGCAAATTCAGGAATTCCGAGTAATTTACAAAATTCC